TTGTCCACTCCAGATTTATCACATACATAGAATCATACAGTAAGTATGTGGCCTTTGTGTCTGGTTTCTTTCCACTCATAAAATGTTTCTAACGCTCATCCATGTTGTAGTGTGAATCAAAATGTGCTTTCTTTCCATGACTGAAGGACATTCCACTGTATGGATCTACCACGTTTTCTTTATTGATTCATCTGTGGATAGAAATTGGATTGTTTCTACTTTTTGGCAATTGTGAAGAGTATTGCTACAAACACCTATGTACAAGTATTTCTGCTAATTTATATTTTCATTTCTCTTGGGTATGTACCCAGGAACGGATCCTCGGTCACAGGGCAATCTATGTTTAACTTTTCAGTAAATGCCCAACTTTCCCACAGAGGCTGAAGAATGCTACATTTCCAAGAGCAATGTATAAGTGTTCTAATTTCTCTATATCCTCACATATAATTTTTATTCACCCTCCCCTTTTTAAAACAGTCCTGGTGAGGTATCTCACTGTGCTTTTGATTCACACATCCCCAGTGATTAACAGCGCTGAGCATCTTTTCATGTGCTTCTTGACCCTCTGTTTATCTTCTTTGGAGAAAGGTCTATTTAAGTCCTCTGTCTGTTGTTTACCTGGATTGTTTGTTGAGCTAAGGAATTCTTTATATACTCTGGATACTAATCCTTTATTGAAAATAAGACTCCCAAATATTTTCTCCCATTCTGTGTGTTGTCTTCACTTTCTTGATGTGTGCTTTGATGTACAAAAGTTTCAAATTTTTATGAAGTCCAATTTATGTATTTTTTTCTTATGTAGCTTATGTTCTTTGGAGTCGTAGCTAAGAAACCACTGCCAAATCCAAGGTCATGAAGATTTATCCCAATTTTCTTCTAAAAATTTCATAGCCTTAGCTCTTGCATTTAGGTCCTCGATCCATTTGGGTTAGTTTTTAATATGGCATGAAGTAAGGGTCCAATTTCATTCTTCCATATGTGAATGTCCAGTTTTACCATCACCATTTGTTGAAAATACTGTCTTTTCCCATTGAATGTTCTTGTCATCTTTGTTAAAAATCATTTAATCATATATGTAAATGTTTGTTTCTGGGCTCTCTATTCCGTTCTATTCATCTCTGTCTGTCTTTATATCAGAACCAAGCTATGGGAGTTTTCATTACTGTAGCTTTGCAGGTAATGTGAGTCCTCCAACTATGTTGTGCTTCCAACTTTTTTTTTCAAAATTGCAGCAATGGCCACAGTCGCCAAACAGTGGAAAGAACCAAGATGCCCTTCAACAGATGAATGGATAAGGAAGATGTGGTCCATATGTACTATGAAGTATTATGCCTCCATCAGAAAGGATGAATACCCAACTTTTGTATCAACATGGACAGGACTGGAAGAGATTATGCTGAGTGACATAAGTCAGTGAAGTTGCAAAGTACAAGACCAATACACACAAATCAATTGTGTTTCTATACACCAGCAATGAATAATTTAAAAGTGAAATTAAGAAAATAATTCTATTTAGAATAGCATCTAGTAGAATTACTTAGGACTAAATGAATTAAGGAAGTAAAAAAGACTTGCATGCCAGAAACTACAACACATTGTTGAAAGAAAGTAGAGATGACCTAATAAATGGAAAGACCTAGCATGTCCGTGGATAGGAAGCGTTAACTACATCAAAATGTCAGTGCTACCCAAAGTGATCTACAGATTCAACATGATTCCTATCAAACATCAACAGCGTTTTGTTTTGTTTTGTTTTTCAAAGATGGAAAACTGATCCTCAAATTCATATGAAATTGCAAGTGTCCCCTAATAGCAAAAACAATTGGGGTAAATACCCAGTAGTGCAAATGCAGGGTCATAAGGTAGCTCTATTTTTAATTTCTTAAGGAATCTCCACACTGTTTTCCAAAGTGGCTGCACCAACTTGCATTCCCACCAACAATGTAAGAGGGTTCCCCTTTCTCCACATCCTCTCCAACACACGTTGTTTACTGTCTTGTTGGTTGTGCCATTCTAACTGGTGTAAGGTGGTATCTCAATGTGGTTTTGATTTGAATCTCCCTGATGGCTAGTGACGATGAACATTTTTTCATGTGTCTGATAGCCATTTGTATGTCTTCATTGGAGAATTGTCTGTTCATGTCTTCTGCCCATTTTTTGACATGATTATCTATTTTGTGTGTGTTGAGTTTGAGGAGTTCTTTATAGATCTTGGATGTCAGCCCTTTGTCTGTAGTGTCATTTGCAAATATCTTCTTCCATTCCATGGGTTGCCTCTTTGTTTTGTTGACTGTTTCCTTTGCTGTGCAGAAGCTTTTGATCTTGATGAAGTCCCAAAAGATCATTTTCCTTTTCCTTTGGAGATGTATCTTGAAAGAAGTTGCTGTGGCCGATGTTGAAGAGGTTACTGCCTGTGTTCTCCTCTAGGATTCTGATGGATTCCTGCCTCATGTTGAGGTCTTTTATCCATTTCGAGTTTATTTTTGTGTACGGTGTAAGACAATGATCGAGTTTCATTCTCCTACACATAGCTGGCCAGTTTTCCCAGCACCATTTATTGAAGAGACTGTCTTTTCTCCACTGTACGTTTTTTCCTGCTTTGTCAAAGATTATTTGACCATAGAGTTGTGGGTCCATATCTGGGCTCTCTACTCTGTTCCACTGGTCTATATGGCTGTTTTTGTGCCAGTACTATGCTGTCTTGGTGATCACAGCTTTGTAGTAAAGCTTGAAATTGGGCAACGTGATGCCCCCAGTTTTGTTTTTCTTTTTCAACATTTCCTTAGCAATTCAGGGTCTCTTCTGGTTCTTAGGGAGAAAGTTTTCAGTCTTTCACCATTGTGAATGATGTTAATTGGGTTTTCCACAAATACTGTTTCTCGTGTCGAAGAATTTTCTAATTATCATTTTCTGAGAGCTTTTTTCTTGAGATGGTGTTGGATTTTTTAAAATGTCTTTCCTGTGTCAATCAAGATAAACTTCCTGCCCCACATTGTTCAGTTATAGTGATGTACTCCACCATGTTTTTCCTGTGGAGCCACCTTTGCATTCCTGGGATCAATCTCACTTATTCATGTAACCCTCTAATGTGCTGTTGGATTCTATTTGCTAAAATTTTGTTGAAATTATTTCCATCTTCAGTTGCTTACTGATGGGTCTCCCTGCCTAGACCAGCTGTGGGCTCCACACTGCAGCCAGGGGGACATGTTTGGAATGTAAATCAGATAATGTCACTTCCTTCCCAAACTCTCTCCACAGTGCTTTCTCACGACACTCAGAATAAAACAAAGTTCATTGCCATGACCTACTTATCCCTGCTGCATTTTCAATCCTGATTGCTCTGCATCTGCTCTTGTCACCATGCTCCCAGGTACAAAGCCTTACTCAAGCACACCAGAACCATTCCCACCCCAGGGCAGGCCTTTACACACATGAAGTAGCAAGCAGATCGCTTCCACACTCTCTTCTGGTCCCTGCATAGTCTTCTCTGTCAGGACCCCCTGCTTTATTGTGCTTTATTCTCTGTTCCTTGATTTATTTGTCTCCCTCCACTGGAACATCAGACCCCCAGGGGTCTGACCCACTGACCCAAAGTCGGTGACTCATAAGTACTTCTGGAATAAATCAAGCCATTTCAGTAGTCCAAATTTTGGGGGAAACTTCTTAGAAAACACTTCTGACTCTATGGATACACAACAAAGAAGGACCCAGACTCTTAAAAACTTTGGCTGTCCCTGTGTAGGCTTTGCTTTCCCTCTGCACAATGGATGTGACAAGTGGGCTTCACCTGTAGGCCCCAAAATCTCCAGTAAGAGTGAGATTCCAGGGCTGCACCCTGACCAGCCATCAGGGTAACTGTTGGCCTCCCCTGAGGTCAGCTCCTGGACCCTGGAGAAGCTGACCTTAGGGACAAAGTTGTCTCCTTTGGAGGTGTGCCAACTTTCCCAAGTTCGGTCCTGACAGGTGCTTTGGGACCACACAGGTTTGTAAAGAATGGCTCCTTTCCTGGAGCATCATGGGCAGGACTCCCACAGGGAGAGTAGGTGAGAGGAGGATGAGGCAGGGATGGTGGGGGCTTTGGGGACTGAAGGACACCCAGGTCCCCAAGCACTGAGACAGGCCTGGAGGTTCCAAGAAGCTGAGCTGATGAGAGAGGCAGGGGACAATCAGAAGAATTCAAAAAAGCCAGCGTGATGGGTAAAGGAGGCAACTCCTCCGTGCCTCCCTCAGCTTTAGTCCTTCTGTGACCTGTGGCCAGGAGCCTTCCCGTTCCAGCGCGGTTTCCTTCTCTGTACAACTGAAGTTTATCCCTAAATGAGCCCGTTTGTCCTGCATTGGGTGGGATGAACCAGTGCCCATGTTTCTAGTCAAGACACCGTGCAGAGTGAGAGATCAGCGGGTCCTTCTGTGAGACCCCCCCGCCCCCCACCAAGGAGGCTCTCCTGGCACCCCATCAGCCAATGTGCTCACTTGGACGGAAGAGAAAGCGAGTTCGGCTACGCCAGTGTAAACCAGATACCAGTCTGTTCACACTGGGGGAAACCAGTGGCTGATGGTCTTCCGGAGCAGAAATCAGGGTCTGATGGGTCTACACTGGCGGAAATCCGACTCAGCGCCCCAGCCACTCGTCTGAGAATACAATCCCAGGTCCCCAGGCTTCCTGAGAACAAAAGTTAAAGCAAACGCCCCGCCACCACCCGGCCTCGCTTCGGAGGGAGGAGCCCTGCGCCCCCGCCCCCACGACCGCCCAGGTGAGGGCACCTGCGCGCTGGGTGCGCCTGCGGGAGGTGAGAGCGGCGCCCCTCCCCGCAGTCTTCCCAGACCCTCCGCCCCCCGCCCAGTGGAGGGGGTCTGCCCCGCGGGGAGGGCTCTGCGGGGGGAGGGGCCCTCCGCGGGGGAGGGGCGTTTCCCGGGGCAGGAGGTCCGCCCCGCCGGGGAGGGTCCCGGGCCGCCCGCGGGTCCCGCTCGCGCCTGGGGTTGGGCGGGGCAGGCGGGCGCCGGGAGCGGGGCGCGTGGACCGTGGCCTTTATGGGAACGTTTTCCTCCAAGGTCGGACAAAGGCGGCGCCACCATGGCTCGCAGCGCGGCCGACAAAGTCTCCGGCACCGAGGTAGGGTCCGGCGGGCGGGGACCGGGAGGGGCACCGAGGTGGGGTCCGGCGGGCGGGGACCGGGAGGGGCA